TTTCCACGTCCATCATCACTTGGAGGAGAAGGAAGTCCAAATTCAAAATCATTATTTCGACTTCCCCCTAAATTTTCAACAGCCCTTTCTTTTTGTCTGATCTCACTATTTATTTGGTATCTCGTTTTTCCCTCCGGTTTAATTTCCCTGATAGCAATAGCAACTTTTTCATCATAAAGCAACTCAAGACCATTTCGCTCGTCAAGAAAATTGTAAACAGTTTTTATTGGTTTGACCAAATTAAAGGAAAGCAATGATTGAACTTCCGGTAGTATAGAGTCCTATATGAACCATATTTTAAGTAAGGATGACAGCAATAATATATGATTTTGGATTAGATTATAAATTTTATCATACCATTAACATGTACATCAGTTTTCCATAAGCATCCCTCATTTTTTCTGGGTTCATTATTTTGTGCCGCCTCCCTATTTCAAAAATATCTTGAAAGAATTGTTCATGTTCTTCATACATCTTATTCGCGAACATTTCTTGACCTTTTTTATAGTCACTAAATTAACAACTAGTTAAACTCGTAGTAACAAAAACGTATATACGCACATGATAAAGGAATTAATATTTACCTTGCAACCTAAAACAATCATAATTAAAACACGGTACGTTTATTTAATATATATATGTATTGTATGAGCATCGGAAAATTTTGAATCTCGATTATAATCGATTGCCAACAGTCAATCGATTATCATCGATAACGGTGATAGTAATCGATATAAATCAAGTTGATAATCAATTATAATCAACATGCACAAAAACCGATTAAATTAAATCGATTATAATTGATGCCTCTATTATATCAATTATAATCGATAAAAATCTCCATCGATTTTAATCGGTGGTAGTGATGAGAACCGCGGATTTGAAAATTTTCCAATGAGAAATAGTTTAAATACTTACGACTAAGCCAGACAAAATGCTGCATAATTCTTTGATCTGTTGAACGATACGGTGTTTTTTGCTTAAAGAATGTGATATAATATCGATTTTGTCCGTATATTCTATTTGAAATTGGGTCAATTATACTAATGATACAGACAACGAGTTTAAATAAAACCAAGTGAACAAAAATTTTACCAGAAACGTTAAGGGCAGCTTCCAATCTAAATTAATAATTGAAATAATGAGTACAAATACCCTCCAACAAAATTAACAGATTTTTTTCTAACAGATAAAAATGGAAATAAGATAAATACAATCTGAGAAGCTTCCGTTCCTCCATATCCAGCCGGAGGGGAATATATTTAGAGCGTTCCACTAGCCGTTTTCCGAACGCCATATCGTCTCTTGATGATCCAAATGAGGATGTTTTGGAATCGATATCCGGATCGTCAAAATAAGGACCCTATCAAATTAATATATTGAGTGAAATTCTAAGCAGTGAAAGTAAACATGCGTTTGAAAAGAATGTAATATATTTACTTCATGGCTCGTATAACCGTTTGAAGTTTTCTGCGAAACCGATTCAACACTCTGG